TATATATATATATGTATACACACATACACACACACACACACACACCATAATGTCTGGACTATAAGCCCCACCGACTAAATGTAAGATGAAAAAACATGTTGTACATAGCCACAGGTGTCCACGTTAGCACGTTATAACATGAGATATTTCGACAGCCAGATTGATCGCCTGTAACCTGAAGCAGCATCATGCATGAAGCAACAAAAGTAGCGGCTTATAGTCACGAAAGTACGGTATATATGTCAGGTCAGAGTATAAGCTGCAAATACTTGATGAAGGCAATGTGAAAACATCATTGGCGTGGAAGCTTGGCCTGAATAAAAATAATTTTTTGAAACATTAAATCAGTGTGAGGGCTCTAATCTTTTTAATAATATTACTCCTCAACCTACACACCTGATGCAAAGAAGTGTGTTTTGGGAGGTGATTGCTCTTTTCTGAATGTATTTGTAAATTAACAACTCCCACAAACCTTTGCCATGTACTCTTATTAACTTAGGGTCCCTGTGGTGCCTTGTTACTCAAGTGAACAACTATATATAACTTCTCTTTAAGCCACATATAGAACCACTTCGAGGATGCAATAAACCACATGACAAAGTAATGCAGAATAATGGCTGAATCTGTTTGGGTTAATTGTGATAGTCATTGGACGGGAAACCAGCAAACCAAACAAAGAAAAGCCAGTTAATTTCCACAGGTCTGTCTGAATAGGATATGTAAACAGGAGTAGCATGGTGGATTTTCACTTTATGTAATTACTGTATGTTGACAGTATTGGTGTTATTTTCATTACTGTCACATGCAAATATAGATAGATAAAGTGAATCAATTATTAATCACTTGGTTAAATTTGATTAGAGGCAACCAAAATAATACATCATACTTATTTTGGCAGTGTGCTGCCAAGTACATGGTGCAGTGCACCGTAACCACTCGGCTACATGACGCCCCATCTTCTGTTTGCTTTAATGTTCCTTTAGATCTGTATAAATCTTGACAGGAGTACACTTACGGCAAGCTGAATTGACTAGACATAGTTTAGAAAGGCACACATCTGTGTATATTTGGTCCCACAAGTCACACTACATGTCAGGACCAAAACCAAGCCCAGGTCCAAAGAGCTCGCTGTAGACCTCTGTGATAACAGTGTGGTGAGACATAAATCAGGGCAGGGGTATAAAACTATTTCTAAAGCTTTGAGTGTTCCAGGAACACAGTAGCCTCGATAATTGTGAAAAGTTTGGAACCACCAGGATCCTTCAGATGTCTGCAGAATTGGAAGAACTTGTCAGAAGGATGACTGTCACAGCAGCACTCCATCAGTATGGTACAGTGGCTAGATAGAAGCCACTTTGAGTAGATAAAAGACAGCCCGCTTGGAGTTTGTCTGAAGTTTTATGCAAACAATATTTAAAAAGAATCGGAAAGCATGTGGGACAAAGATTGTTTGGTCTGATGACAGAAAATGTTAATCCTTTGGGAAGAGCTTCAAAGCAATATGTCTGGTAGACACCAAGCACTGCTCATCACTTCACTAGTATTAGAAGTGTGGGAAGAACCAATGCTGCCAAATTCAAAGGGGTCCTTCAAGAAAACCTGCTCCAGAGTGGGCATGACCTGAGACATGCTATGGTTTGCCTTTCACTGTCCCAAAGCATACAGCCAGACTGTCCTTGAGTGGCCCAATCAAAGCTCAGACTTAAACCTCAGAGAACACCTGTGGAGAGACTTGATGACAGACACTTCTCAACCAATCTGACAGAGATGGAGAAGATATGCCAGGAAGAATGAGATCAACTGCCCAAATCTAAGAAGACGAGAAGCTGTAACTGCTGCCAAAGATGCTTCTTCAAAGTGCTGAATTACTGGTTTGAATACTTCTGCAAGTGAAACATTTCAGTTTTTGATTTTTGTAACGAAATTATATATTCTTTAAAATGTGTTTTTAGTTCGTCATTATGTGTTATTGAATGTAGACTGATTGGAAGAATGGTCATTTTACAGTGAAGTGTGCAAAAAATGAAGGGGTCTGAATATCGTAGGTAGGTTATAAATACTGCCCTGATTCATTAATGTAGGTATTAGTGCTCAGTGGAGTGAAGTGTTGTTTGGATACCGAGTAGGAAACTACTTATTTGTAATCTACTTGTATAATGTATGTATGTATGATTGATTTACAGCATAATGTGTAAACAAATCAAAACTTTAATAAAACTTTGTACAATTTTGTACTGTATAGCTGGAGTGTAGACAATGACAGAGTGGTCCACTGTGTGTCTGAAAAGCAAATTTCAAATTTGTTTTGAGTGTTTTACACTCTAGGGAACACTTCAGAAAACATGTCAACCTGAAATATGCTATAAATAATATCATTACTAATCTAGCTGCAAAAAACTCAAGAAATATGTATTATAAAGGTTTTCAGTTTCAGTAAATAATAAAAATTTTTTTAGAGGGTTGAGCTGCATTCAGCCCACTGACAAAAAGCATTATGTGCTCTAGTGGGAAATCAAGGTGCTATTTAATGCTGTTTAAAACAGAACTTTTCATTTAAGACTGACGACTGAATATGCCGATGTATTTATTTATTTATTTGATAATGGTTTGCAGGTCTGACTTGTTTGTTGCATTTAGGATTTATTGGTTTAACAACATTGTAGAGATAAATAACACCTTGATGCATGACAAAAGAAAAACTGTTTTCAACCCAAATTAAAACAAAAAATTAAAGGGAAATGCTTTAATTTTAAAGTCATCTTATTGTCATATAACCTTCATACATTCCCACATATAATTAACAAAACCGTACTTTCCGGACTATAAGCCGCTACTTTTGTCGCCAATCGATATGGCTGTCGACATATCTCGTGTTACAAAGTGGACACCCGCGGCTATGTACGAACTGTTTTCTCGTCTTAAATTTAGTCGGTGTGGGGCTTATAATCCGGAAAATATGGTACTACTGTAATTTAAGGCAGGCGCTGTCAAAAGATATTTTTATGAGGAAATAAATTAGGAAAAATGAAATACACTTATAATTGACTGTAAGAATGAACCAGTCCTACGTAACAGTTTTTACATGAACTTTGCTGTTTTTTTATATTACATACTTGACATTTAAATCATCAATGCTCATTACTCTAATTGCATTCCAATTCTGTGTCCTCCAGCAGAACATTTATGATCCAACCTTACCTTGATTTGTTTGATTAAAAAATAATTATCCACTTCACTAACAGAACTTACAAAAACAAACACACACAACAGCCTTAACACTCCTACTGTCTTTGTGGATGACTTGTGAATCCAAAAGGCAGTCTGAATTTGGACTGAAAACAAATATTGGGGGAAATCTGATACGAAAGGGATAACAAAGATGTTTATGATCTCATTTGTTTGTACATACTGTATGTAGAAACGATAAACAAGTAAATAAACAAAAATTTATAATAACCACAAATGATTAGAATTAGTATACATGAGTTTCCTACATCTACTAGGCAATAAAATTCATGCTCCAGCCCCCCTCAGTGACCCTATTCAGGGATAAGTGGTATAGATAATGAATGGATGGGTGGATAATAATAATAATAATAATAGAATACATTTGCTATTCCCTTGTTTACAGAGTGGACATGCAGCAGGAAAACCCAATACCCCACAAACCCACATCTGATACATTTTCTATGTTTACAGGAGGCTATGGCTATTGGCTGTTGCTGAGGTCAGCACACTGTATATAGCATGGATGTATATGGATGGCTCTACAGTTGCCAAAGTTAATGCTAGTTCATATACTTTGACGCTGAATGTTTGCCCCCTCAGTCCACAGGAATATCGAAAAACACAAGTGGGAAAACTGATCAGTCCAATCAATGTGATTAGCGATCCAACTGATTCATTTATATATATATATACACATACATACATACACACACCCCACCTGTGTGAGCTGCCACCACAAGCAGAATCTAATTCTGTGGGGAAAAACTGAAATTTCATACAGTCACATCTCTACCTCATAACCAAATGTAACCAATGTAAGTGCATCGTGCAATGTTCCATCCATAACCAGAGACTTCTACATTAGAAAAATGAATAAATGATCCGGATAAAGCTCACTGATATGATATACACTCACATTTGTGTTTTTGATTTACTGTAATAAGCGTTGGCATGGAGACAGCAAGAGGCCATGTTCTGCATTAAAAATGTTTGTCCTTGGTACTATTCCCTCTAATGAATAATGAGTGGTGATAAAGATTACTGAATAGTATTCTGCACAAAATGTCTGGGGTGTACACCGTCCTTCCTTTCTTCTATTACTGACTTGTGAGAAATAAATCTTTGATATGTTGTAAGTTGTTCCAGCACGTCACAATTGGACCAGTGTTACCTTACTCTGCTAGGAGAAATGACAGACTCACCCTGCGGCGCATCAGCATCACAGATCCTTGCTGTGCCAAAAGTACCATTCCCAGATGTAAGACCTGCTGGAACCATCTGACTCTGATCAAAAAACATAAAATCAGTTTAGCATAGAAACACTAGAAATTACATCATACAGTACAAATACATTTAGGCTAGAGGACAGGAAACATAATTATAACCTCTGGAAATCTATAACACTAGAGTAAACGACAACAGCCTCTTACTCATAAATTACAGACTGACCTTATGTTTTACATAGCAACAGAAAAAAGAATCTCCAGAAAGTTCTGGTTACAGAAAATGCTGCATATTTTGCCATCTTTAAATAAAACACATAATTTACAGAAAATACAACCACAGGTAAGTAGAAGGGAATTTACAGTTATTCAAAGGATTGATTTTAAGTGGAAGTACTTCAGACAAAAACAACACAAATCGCACACACTGTACTCATTTTATTGTTGACATTTTGGTCCACAGAACTACTTAAAATGTTCCTATGATAACAAAAGGGCCATTAGTTTAAGGTGTTCACTATCTCCTACATCTAAGTTTCACTGGGCATGCGTAGCTGTAATAAATGTCAATGAGAGACGGTGTCTCTACAGCTAAAAAGAGACAGGAGCAAATACAAAGACGCTGTTTTTCCCCTGTGTGTCATACTGAGCTGGTTTTATAAAGGCTCTTTTCTCTTATTAAACTGTATGTTTCAGCAAAAATGGCATCCTGGTTGATTTTAATTCTGTTTAAAATATTATTGGAGACAAACGATAGACACAGATGCATATAAACCACATGCACACACCCATAGAAAGAGAGAGAGAGCGAACATGTAAGGGTAGACTTTCAAACAACAGATCCACACAGTAACAGCTGCATTGTCTAATACAGAGAGACAGAATCCAAAAAGAACAAGAGACTAAAAGCCTTGGTACCCACCCGTAGAGACTATGCTGCTGCCTACACCCAGCTGGACTGAAGTGGTTTGAACTCACTGAATGACTGACACTGCCATCGTTAAAGCTCCATCATCAGAGCTACCTCTTATCAGTGAGACTAAAAACCTAGAAATACACAGAAATGTACATTTATCCCCACCTGTACAAGATATTTCTGGCTCCCATACATGACGTATTGTGGGGCTAGGCTGTAGATCATGTAGCTGGTGTGAAGGACAATCAAGAGAAGAATCATACAGAGGAAGAGAAGAGCCTGGGGGCGAGTTCTCTTAGGTCTTATTTTGTACAGCTGGGAAAAAAAAAAAATTGATGTGCAATCAATATTGTATATAGTGTATTTTAACTGTTAAACTCCTAAAGTTTGCATATGACACAATTCCTTGTGTTCCCAACACACCTGGCCAATAAAGCTAATTCTTCTTCTTCAAACTTCCTAATGTAACATAGATAAAGGCATTTGCTTACCCTTATCCAGAAGAACCAGATGCCCATGTTGCGAATGCCAGCCATGGATGTGAGGACAAAGTACATAGTAATGACTGTGATCAGGATATAATCCAGTGGAAAAACCTGTGGTACCAAGGACAGAGGTTATCTCTCACATGTGCAAGTCACATACATAATCATTATTTCATTGAAAGCCAAACATTCAGGATGACTGGCTCTCAAGAATGCCTCAAGTTTGTAATGCACAAATTTCATCAATGCCACTTGTTCTAGCCCAATATATCTAGAGCATGACTGAGCTGTCATTGTGCAGTGCATATTGTCAAGAATGTTCCACACCAACAACTGCATTCCTAACCTTTTTTCTTTTCAGTAAAACAAACAAACAAAAAAAACATGTATAGTTGCAGTCGAGACATAGAAGCACTGTGCATGCAACATATTAATATTTATCGATTATGTTCTATGTTGAGACATCAAGTTGAAACATTCTGACTTCAAAGCTTATTCCTATATAGGATCCCATTGCTGGAATGGTGCACTTAATTCCTTAAATACCAAGGTCATACTTCTAAACACTGGGTTTTGGACATTTAATCAATGCCAATATCTATGAAGCAGTTATTTAATAGTCTGAGCTGTCAATCATTTCTTCTCTAAAGGGTGCTGTAGAATACTAACATAGGATATTCTGTTCAGTGTCCACAACTCTAGCAATGACCTGAAGGAAAGAATTAATGGTACTGATTTAGCATTCTGCCAACACCAACAGTTAAAAATAAATAATTAAACTAAGACGTTGGATATTTGTCAGCACCACATATATTTGGGTTTCTCAAATCCACTGGGTTGCACAAAAACTAAATAAAATAGCTTAAAAATGTAAGTGATTCATCTTTCAGCAACCTGTACCTTATACCCCTGGACAATATTGCATCAAAATTTAAGTTTACTAATTGACAAAGATTCTGAAAGCAGTCACATTTTTACAGTTGAATTATTTCAAAAACAAATAAATGACTTGATATTCCATAGAAACTATCATTAGAGAAGTGAGAAAAGGAAATAGTTATTGTATATTTTGATTTATTAACTAGCATCCATGAATATCCAAGTTTCACCAAGGTTTTCTTTGGATCCAAAATGTTTCAGGTTGTTCTATGCTGCAAAACAGCAGCTAATGATTTCACTGCATGCTGCCATTTACTTACCAATTCATCACTTGTTACCAAGAAAGCAGGCAGGGCAGCTATGTGTTGTATTGTATTTTGGGGGTTTTCTTATTTTGTCCACCGTTTTGTATCTTTCACTTGTACCTATTTCAGAAGTTACCCAGTGCTTTGTACAGTTTACTCAATAATAGCTGCTGTATCAATGTGCAGGACCTTGTAAATGAGTAGTTTCTGAATCAGATGAACAGCTGGGTCATAAAAAAAAACTGTTTCTGCTACACAAAGCATGTTTTTGCAAGACTGTCATATAAGTGTTGATTAATTTTTGACAGTTGCCAAGTTAATTTTCTGAGGTCATCATTTTGTAGTAAAGCAACTACCGTTTGTCCTTGCCATTTCACACCTATTTCTGTACCACTTAAAAATGTGCCAACTGTGCTTGACATGATGGACTTCCTCTCAGCCCTGCTCCCTTGGACATTAAATTATTTTGAAGTTACTGAAGAATTAAAAAAAAACACTTATGAGTAAGATTCATGTAGGTATAATTTGCCTTTCTTTTAATTTTATTATACCATGGTGGTGGTGCTCATTTAAAAGTAACACACCACTAACTGACATTTAGGCAATGGGACTCTTTTGGTCATTTACTGTATGTACAGTAGCTGCAGCATTTAAGAACAACCAAGAACAAAGCTTTTAAATTACACTTAATTTAGGTTAATGATGATGGAAACAAGAAAATATGGCTTCATTCATCTTTTCAGCATGAAAGATGAGAGGATACTCACAGGTTGTAGGGCTAATAGAAGTTCATTCAGAGGGTTGGTTAGGTTGGTGCCAAAGATTATGAACCCAGAGCTGATGCCAGCAGAGTGGAGAGCTTTATCCAAACTGAAACACACACACAAAAAACTTATCTCCAGCATAACACATTAATAACAATAGCTAAAAAAAACAATTGCACTGTCCAGTTTTTGTCACAAACCCTACTTAATTAACATACATTTGTAAGGTGTAATTTGTGAAGAATGATGGTGTTAAAGGACATATGACTTACTTTGAAATGAATAGGGCAACTATGAACAGCAGTGCAACCGCGATAAAGAAAATGCCCAACAATATCTGCAAAAAACCAAAACAAACACATTACATCACAATATCAAACACTGATATGTACCTACAACCAAAGGGCTGGGTTGGCAAATGTAACGTTTCTGTCAAGAAGAGACCATATGGCTTGGCCAGGCATAGTTTGGCACCGTTGCCGAATGTGACGGAGGAAGCAATGACACAGTCCAGACAGAGTAGGGGGTTACAGCCAGGAAGGCAAAAGGTGGGTGGCAGTCAAAAAGGCAACAGACCCTGTTGACCCATGCATTCAATGAGGCCTTTATACTGTACCAAAAAGAGCTCAAACTAGCCATGACAATGAAAAAAAGGATGTGAACACATATGGTAAAATATAGTACAATTAAAATCTATTATGTTTTATTGATGTCTAAAAAAAAGCATTTAAAAACAAAACAGCTCACTTCAGCATGAAGGCCTCTGACATATCCATATCAGTGCTTATATGCAAGCTATTAGGAGAAAATAAATTTACATTGCAAAAAGCAATTATTTAATGGCTTGTCTCAAATTTGTTCTGACAAAACATTCCTTGATGTAATTTCCCAAGGACTGTAGCAAAGCATCAATTATAACCAAGAAATGGATGATAAACACATTATTTGACATTACTGCTTATAGTGCCTTGATATGAATAAGTTGGCCAAGGTGGCCAGATAGAGGTAAAACTGATTAAACGCCCCTCATCTCCTATGCTAAACAAACAAAAGCCAAAAGAGAAGATTGCCTGACTTTGTTATGCAAATGCATTTGACAATTAAGGTGTAATATACTAAGCAGGAAGCTATCATATGTGGAAAATTAAAAAAAAAAAAGGTCTTGAAAATGTGGGATTTATTTTCATATCGTAAATGAAAAGGTAGAGTGGCACTGTATTATATATTACTTATCTAAACAGCTCTGCTTGAAAAACTGTTTTTATACCTTTGTTTTATGATTCTGTCAAAACACTAAATATTTGGTGAGGTCTGAGCTCGTTTTAGCCATACATGTTCCACATGTCAACAAGTCATTATCACTCACCAGCAGAGTTGATATAAAAAGGACAGCATGGGTTTGAGAAACAGTGGTGTAACTGCTCGGGTAAAAAATCACAATCATTTAAGCTTATCACTCTGCACCAGCACCTCAGCATACAGTAAATAGATCTTCCAACTCATTACTGTATAAATGTGACTCTGTGGATTGCCATTAGCAGCAACCCCCTTGGTTAAATACAAACTGTTACAGACACTGGTTTAAAATGTTTGTTCGTGCCTGCAGGGCAATAAAATACTGGAAGATGAATAGCAGTGGGAAAGTATGGTGTGAATTAGGAGAATGATGTGAACTCTTCCTGTCTGTAATGTAGAAAATGTAAACAAAACAGTGGGCCATATTTTATAACAACAATAAATATACATTTTATACATATAAACACAAAATTATAAGCATACATTATAGATTGATTCTAACTATGAATCACCTTTGCTATATTATATGAACAGACAATCAGGACATGTCAATTCCACATGCTATTATGTTCACATTAGCCCACTGTACAGTGAACCTTGTGCACTATGGACCTAGATATGAGGATTAGACAAAGTAAACTATGAATTGGAGGGTGTGGGGATTATTGCTGTCATATTATTCCTCTCCTACCTGTTCAACAGCTAAAGCAGGACATGAGGAGTTCAAGGAGGTAAAATTAAAAAAAATCTTTTGCCGCAAGTATGTTGCCAAAGGCGAATCATGTGCTTTTAAAATACAATCACAATTTAATCACATTTTTGTTTGATTAAAATGGGGTTACTAAATCTGTAGTTAAATAAATAAAGGTTTGCAATTAATTACACCCATTATTTTGTTATTCTAAGCCATACTGATCACTAAAGATGGTATTTTTTGTAAATTAAAAATCCAATGCTATTTATGCCAAACTAACTACAATGATGCTAGTGATCACAGCTGTTGCATCCTGGTAACTGAGCAGGTTGTGATAAAGATGCAAAAGGTTTTTAGGACAGGTGGAAATACACAGCCTTGAGGGATTTTGACTGTAATGTTATTTTTTTTTCATCAAACTGTGTTAAATGTTTGTGTCTATAAAGTCCAGACGATGTACCTTTTCTACAATCTAGATGATTCAAGGTAGACATACTTTAGTAGGAAACAGTGCCAAATGTGAGGTATGCATTTAATTTTTTAAGATAATTTTGTGATGGTGCTGGCTGGGTATGATGTAGTCAAGGTACAGTACCCACAAGGGATCACGGGTGCATAATTGTGCTGAACTGTGAAAATCTCTCCATAATGCTCATTAGTGCATCATCTCCAGATGTCCGCCTGGATCTAAGTCTTAAACAAGTGATGTTATAACCCCCTTGGGCAATTTTATATGTGGGAACAATGATATTTAAGATGCATCAATGCATGTCCAGGTACTGGGTGACAAACCACAAAAAGTAAAATCAAAAAGAAGTTTGATTGCTTTGGTTTAACCCTGAAGAACCATGAGATCCTGCCTGAGAAATGTGAGATTCCCTAAGAAATTTAAGAGTAAATTAGGTGAATCATATAAATATGCTTTTGTGTGGAGCAGAGCTAAAGGTAAATCTGGAGCAGTCAGAATTAGAACTTAAGCGTGCGCGCGCACACACAAACACACACACACACACACACACACACAAAACAGGGAGCAATATTATGAAGCTGGCAAAAATGAACTGAGGCATGCTATTTGGCTAAGACAAGAATTTTGAAATTACATAACTAATAAGAGAAGAAATATAAAATTAGGTGTGGTATATAGTATAGCCCTACCCTACCTCTGCTCAAAAATAAATTAAAACAAGGCTAGTACACAATGCTAAATATTTCCTTTTGTGTACAATACAATCCATATCAGACATGATCTGGGAATAGGAACCAATTCAATAATGTAGGCTCACCTTCAAAGGTCTGAGAGCACTACCCACTTTAGTGCAACAGTTCCCCTCTGCAAATTCCAGGTGTCTCCCCCTGCGCCGGAGGACCAGCAGTTTGCCCTCCAGCTCCTGCAGGTTATTTCTGTCCCTTGAGGAAAGGGGACGTCCATCTTTACACTTGAGAAAAAACCAACAAACATAAATTAATAAATATACCTATGCCTAGGTCTGTATGTTTACTTCTGACCTGGCAAAGTTGGAAGCTTTATCAAGATATTAAACTGCACAAAAAAGCATCCAAAGACTGCCAAACAGAGTAACAAAGATTACTTAACATTTAAAAATTAATTAAGATTCTCTCTGGATAATGTTATGTCAGTGGGTGGATGTGTGAAGCATTCAAAGATTGCCGTCTAATGATCTAGGTATAGTTTCTCTGCCAGTAAAAAATAAAATAAAATAAAAAAACAATTACATGTTTGCTGTAAAAGTTGCTATTTGTCTATGTTCAGTCTCTAAAAATAAAATGATTGCTTGTGTGCTTTATGTTGCTTTAAGTTTCCTTTAATGTGTATGTAATCTTTAATATAGTGCTACCTAATTTTTAGTAAACATATCTATGCAGGGAACAGATTTGAAAGATGAATGCACTGATCTTGTGTTCAACTTTACATTGCCACTGGCAACTAATAGCAAATAACAGATGTTTTTACTTGTGTTTCCCTGTTGTTTCCCTACTTGCATTGGAGAGGGTGGTTTATAAGGGCAATGCTGATTGTCCATATCAGCTGGAGGCTCAGCATGCATACCTTTCCAAGATGCATGATTATACACTATCTGCAGAAAATTTTGAAGTGTAAAAAAAAGACAGCAAATGTTCTGATATTGTTATTCATATAGTTGTTGTTAATGTAATGATCACTTCTAGGTTTTGTTCAGTGAGGTTTTGTCATTACTTGTAGATAATTTGCACAATGTGTTCATTAATGTCAAGCCAGTGCTCTGTGTCACTTGGTGAGACCAACCTGAGATTTCAGCTTTTCTATCTGATGCTCAACATCATCAATGTCCTCTGTGTTCTCCAGGCGTTCATACACCACACTCCGTGTGCCTTTTATCAGATTCAGAGGCAGTACAGACATACCGTATGCCTGAAAAACAGTGCAAAACTGAAATTATAATCACACATTATTGTCAGAATGGGATGGCACATATGGCACATGTATCCACCTACACATACCCACCCCTGTCTGATGACAAACTCATCCCAGTGTGGAACTGGACAAGGCTCAATTGAGGGTGGCAAAAACATACACAACAAATCCCAGGTTTCCTAGGTTATGTCATTTTTGGTAGAGGAAAAAAAAGATTAAAATGGTGGAATCTATAATTGTGCTGAGGTTTATTGGTGAATCTGCTGCAACCATTTTGTGTGGATATCACTACCTTATATCACCCTGATGCAATTTGCAGCTTAACAGTGCCCCCATGTGACAGCACTACCCTCTATCCAGGATTTCATGAAATTTTTATAAGAGGAATTTTAAGGAGAAAAATCTGGGTTAGAGGAAGAGACATCAAGGTGCCATCAGTGCTGAATGGCATGAATTTAAATGAATACACATCAACTTTTCTGTTAGAAATACATACAATGCATAAATAAACAATTAGAGACAGCCAAACAGAAAGGCATACACAAATAAATACATACAATGAGGACATGAAGGACAGATAGAGAAAGAGAGAGAGAGAGAGAATGTGATGGGAAAAAAATGTAAAAGGCACAAACTATCAGTGGGCTTCAATCTCCTGAAGGGATGTTTGAACTTTAATTAAAAATAAGGGTCATCTGTGATACCAGGAAACAGACCAATCAATACAAATGAAAATAACAGCAACGGGCCAATGCTTTCTTCCTCTCCCTGTGTTGTCTCACTTCCACCAACTTGGAGAAGTGGCATTTTATGGGTTTATAATAAAACAAAGGGGCCTTCTGTGTAGTGATACTTTCAGCCCTGTCAAAAGATGCTGCCCTTTTTCTCCTATTTTTCAAGTATGGAAACGTCAGAGCCAATATTTTTCTAAAACAACTTTTACTTGTTTCTGAGTGTTAGGTAGCATTAAGAGAGTCGCATGGGATACAAAGTCAGGCTAGACTATTATTAGTCTCTGCTGTGGATCTCTGCTACAGGCGAATGTCGCCTCCTGCAATGAATCATGGAGCTCTTAAGGACGGAGCATGTCCCGAATATCAAACATGCTCATAAAAGGAAAACCTGTCCCAGATCCCAAGAGAAATATTTTCCTTCCCCTAAAACGTGCAATGACTTGGGAGAAATCTAAAATGAGAAAAAAAAGTGGAGTGTACATTTTTAGTTCACACATAATCGTGCATGCTCATTAAAGTTATTTTAAAACCCATTGTGGTCAATAATAACCAGAAATAGCTTGGAGCAGGGTGGATGGGAGTGTGTGTGTGTGTTAACTGATGGGGGAGTTACTGGCTGAAAACGTTCAGAGACAGTCATGTGACTGCTGAGAGGGAGAACTCGGTGGACACAAGGCTCCTACACAAGCCTTCTCTTTGTTGGCCTTTCTACTTGTGATGGTGAAGCCAAAGAGCCAAGGAGTGGGGAGAGGAGGACAGCAACATTCAATATACCTTTTGATAACCTCTTAGATCTCAGTGCTGCTTTTTACACCATTGATCACAGCATCTTACTGCAGAGACTTGAACATGTTATTGGGATTAAAGGAACTGCGCTAAGTTGGTTCAAATCTTATTTATCAGAAAGATTTCAATTTATTCATGTTAATGACGAATGTTCCACACAAACTGAAGTTAGTCACGGCGTTCCACAGGGCTCTGTGTTAGGTCCAATTCTCTTCACTTTATACATGCACCCTTTAGGCAATATTATCAGGAAGCACAACATAAATTTCCATTGCTATGCAGATGATACTCAGTTATATTTATCTATGAAGCCAAATGAATCAGGTCAGCTGGTCAAACTTCAAGCATGTCTTAAAGACATAAAGGCCTGGATGACCTGCAACTTCTTACTTCTAAACTCTGACAAAACTGAAGTTATTGTGCTTGGGCCTGAAAACCTTAGAAATCTGCTGTCTAATCATATAGTTACTCTAGATGACATAGCCCTTGCCTCCAGTACTACTGTGAGGAACCTGTGAGTCATCTTTGATCAGAATATGTCCTTTAAATCACACATAACCCAAGTCTCTAGA